GTTTGATATGTTTGTCCAAAATACTCTATAAAATTCTGCAGGTAGCCCATCAGATCCAGGGGTTTTCCTGTTCCATGGTTTTCAGGGCTGCAAGGCATTCCCTTTCAGTTAGCAGGCCTTCACAGTTGTTCCGTTGTTCGTCATTCAGGACGGTGTCGTTTTCGTGTTTAAAAAAAATCATATGTGTCAATTAAATTGTGTATATTTCTGTTGGATGTATATAGATTCATAAAAAAGATTCCCCTTCTGCTAATATTTCCTGATCCGAAGTAATAAAGTTATTTTCGTCCACTTTAAGTTGGCTTATAATGCCTTGCTTATAGTGTCTCTTTTCTAGGTTGAGGAAATATTTCGTATTTTTTTCCTTTCATTATGCCATTTAATTTTAGCTCTCAATATGGAACCTTTCGTACGAGTCTCAATAATTCTTTCTAACTCACTCTTTAGATCATTCAGTTGTTCTGCAAGTTCAGAATTTTCTGTTACGCTAGAGTCTCCGTTCTCCATTTTCGATTCTAGTTTGGAAATTGCATGCTCTAGTTCTGCCTCACGGCCCTTTTGTTTTCTTAGTTTTATTCATTGCGTATTGGAGCGATTTTTCCCGTATTTTAAAGCTTAATCATGTCCCACAATAGAGCAGAGTTTACCATGTCATCGTTTTCATATTCGTCTTGAACTTCCTTAATCGTTGTCTTAATAAGATTAACATAAGCAGTTTCGGTTAAAAGAGAGGTATTTAATTTCCAAAGGCCGGGTCCTCTGCTATTTGCATGAAGAGACAGATCTAAAGTAATCATGGAATGGTCTGTTTTATATCCTGGCACTATATCGGTGTTAGTGACGTCCCCAATAACGCTTTGGCTTATTAAAAAGAAATCAAGTCTACAGTAAACCTTAGGTTGTCGTTGTCTCCAAGTGTACCTTTTGTCATCTGGATTGTGAATTCTCCAGACATCGAGAAGATCTAGGTTCTCTGAAATTTCTTGAACGGTCTTCAAGCTATTTTGGTGAGTTTTGGCAATGCCACCTTTTTTGTCATTTTCGATGTTAAGAACAAGGTTGAAGTCACCGCCAATTATTATGTCTTCACATTTAAAATTTAAAAGATGATCGTAAAAGTTTTGAAAGAATGAAGGTTTATCCTCGTTGGGAGCATAGATGTTAGCGAGGGTCAAAAGCTTTTCGTTAGCTTTTAAGTCACAGATAATAAATCTCCCTGCAGGGTCGGTGTAAAGTCTTTGGAGCTGAAGGTTAAAATTATTGTTAAAAAGAATACATACCCCTGCTTTGTTGCTTTCAAAAGAGGTGAAGTAAGCTTGATAGCCCCATTCTGCTTTCCACAAGTGATTTGTTTTTTTCTATACAGTGTACTTCTTGGAGCATGCATATTGATGGCCTTTTGGCGCGAAGCCAATTAAATACTTCTCTTCTTTTAGCGTCATCCCTAAGTCCCCTGACATTCAATGAAGTTATTTTCAAAGTCACGATTTGTTCAAGTCTTTTGTAATAAACGTTGTCTCGACGGGAAAAAACATGTGCGCCTCAATAAAGGATTTGCATTCTTTCTATTAGGTGTAAAATGATTGATGCAAAAGGTACTCGATATTTTAAACAAATAATGAAGACTAAAACGTGCATATAATATTAGACTGAAGCAAATGATCACAAAAGGTAAATTAAACAAAATAACACTTTGAATAAATAAAAAGAGTAGCGCAAAAACAAAAACAGAGCATAGACAAATTTGTAGTTAGTAAAATTAAATTACTTTGGCAGCGAGAAATTTGAATGGTTGATAAGACGTCCCTCTCCAGACTTAACGTAGATTATTTTGCCTGTTCAGTTTATAATTGATCTAAGTCCTCTTCGGAAAAAATTCTAACAGGAGCCATAGGGTGATGTCTTAACAAAAATCTTACCATCCAAAGACCAAACACTGAGTAGAGTACCCTCTTGTCTTCTCTTGTTCGCTTCTTTCATGATTCTACGCCTATAAGCCGTGAGGTTCTCGTTTATAAAAATACGTTGTCGTTCCTGTGCATTTGAAGGGTAGCTGGGAAATAGATCTTTGATTTTGACATCCTTTAGTTTGGTGCGTTCTTTGTAAAGTTTCGATTTCACTTTATGATTGCAAAATTTCACTATAATGGATTTGCCCCGATTCAGCTTGTGTGAAATCTCTATTTCTTCAGGCTCTATGGTGATATTTAGGGCTTCAGCAACCTTGATGACCGCGGCCTCCGTACTGGGATACGCATCTTCTGGAATTCCATGGATTTCCAGCGAGTTCTTTCGAGTGTATTGTTCCAAATCATCATGGTGTTCCCACAGTCGATCGGATTCTTCTTTTTTTTGCTTTCCTAGATTCTCCTTTGTTGTTTTAAGCTCGTTCCTTGTTGAGGCTAGCATGTGTTTTAATTCTTTGTATTCGTCCTTGGTCTTTTGCAAGGACTCTTTCAAATCTTTAAGCTCCTTCTCGTAGAAGTTGGCAGATTCTTTTAATTCTTCGATTTCCTTCTTCAGCGTTCGATTTTCGCTAAGAACTGCAGCTATTTGGATTTGTATGTCGACCAGTAGAGCCTTGATTTCAAGAAGGCTAGGCTCTTCTTGTTCCTTGCCCGCTTCAATCGATTCTTCAACATCAATGTTTTCCTCGGCCGCCATGTTGGATTTCTTCGGATTTCTTGGTTCGTCTTCGGTTGAGCCACGGAACTGGAACTCGGATACTGAAAGCAAACTCAGTGCTATTTCGGAGGGTAGCATGGAGCGTTGAGTGACAAGACTAACATGGAAACGAAAGACCGCAAACCAGAACATGTGTAAAAGGTAGTGGCAGAAAATTTTTTGGTTTTGTGTTAAATAACTGTTAAGAAAATATTTACTGCTCCAAGTATTTCCATTATTGCCGTATAAGCAATTAAATGGCCTAAGCCAGCAAGAGGCGACTTATCTGTTGAAAACGACGACTAAACGTTCTTATGATATAGCAAACCCAGTGCCAAATCCCTGTGCTCTGATTGGTTCTTTCTTGGTCAGGATTTTGCAGTTCGGACCGTTTCCATGTATTTTTGTTTTGGAGCGAAGCCGACAAATTCAAAATTTGCAGCCAAAACAGCGAAAAAAAAAAACTGTGAATCATTTGTCATCCTTCACATTGAAACTACCGGAAGAAGCTAAAAAGATTGAAATTTTTCCGAAATTTCAAAGATAGACTAAAGAAGACAAACATTTTTAAGTTGCAAGCCACCGGAAGTGCATTCTACTATCAGAAACAGAGTGCCATATAATAAACAACTTACTAACCGAGCTTGCCCGGGCCGTACTGGGGAATATTGGCCCTCGGTCAAGGCAATACGGACCTTGCTTCGCTTGAATGTCTTGTAAATGCGCCTTTGAATGCACTAGATTCAATTGGGGTGTTAACTGTAGAAATAAAAAGTGTAGGCAGAATTTCAGCGTTTTTGCTACTTTATGTTTTCAAATAGTTTGTAGTTTAATTATTTATCTATGTTTATTCACTTCTTACCTTATGTAAAAAATATATTCCGTATCTATGTATTTATTATTCGCTACTTACGGGCGGAATCGCACTTCAATGTATCACGCAAAGTATGAATAAATTTGAATCTAATTGAATTCAATATTGAAAAAAAAAATCGAAAAGAGTGAAGAAACTTAGAGAAAAAGATCGATTTATACAATGCCTTTATCTAAGAATTCAAAGCATCAACTCTGATACTGCCGCCGATCATAACAAGTAGATGCATTCTGCTGCTGGATTTGAGAAAAATATGTTTTCTTTTACTTTCCTTCTCAATGAAGTAGTGCTTTGTTATTCTAGACGTGGGTCTGCCGGGGGCTTATAAAATTTGCTTTACTTTTGACTGCATGTTTACTTTCCAACTTCTCTTGACGATGTGGTCGTTACAGTTGAGGGAGGTCTTTCGGACGAGTGCGCTCAGCAACGAAGGATGGAAACTAAAGTGGCTGTCTTGTATGTTTTGTGTTGCCTTGCTTGGGGAGGTTTCTTGAAAACAGGTTTGTATTGCTATGCCTCTTGTGTTTCCCTCTTATTTTCTTCTTGACCATCGGCGTACGGGAAAAATTTTGTTGGGGGGGCTGAACATAATTTGCACGAATGAAACTTGTTGGACACAGATGCACAAGATGATTCTTTCGTGACCTCAAGTTTTCTTCGCCATGCCGTGAGAGCACGGGCGTTCAAAATAGTGCAAATATTTTCGGTAAATCGAAATGAACATTTCTAAAATACAAAACCATGAAGTGAGAGATAAAACGTACCCATTTTAGCTCTAAAAGAAGTATGAAGAACGATTACTTCGCCACCCAAATATGTGAATAATCCTTTGCATGTCATTCTGCATTGTCTTGTTTGCATACTTTCTTTCAATGTTAATAACGGCGATACTGCTAAGTCGGTCGAATTGTGGCCAGGATGGAGGTAACTTTATAGGGAAACAGAAAACAAGTAAATAATAATTATGATATGAAGATCTTTGAATGTGGAATATGGAATGAGACTGGTTCATTGATTCCGTGTGGATAGAGTGTACCAAGTTGAAAAATGAAGTTTTGTTCGAGATTATTCCATTAATTTCTTCACAAATTCATCTCACCATATTTCCCGGCCCCAATACTAGCAAAGCTCTTCCACTCCCTCATAAAAACCAACAACAACCCAAAATTCCTCTATTCGCTCTGACGAAAGGCTAACGCTTCAAACGTCAGCTTTCCAAATCGGCATGGTGATAATTCGACCTCCATCAACTCGTTTGCTAAAACTACATCATGTTCATGTTTCACGCTGCCACCGACGTAGCACCACAGTTTCTTTAGAAACAAGAAATTTATTTACCTTCAAATCATGTTTACATCAATGCTACAATTTCTGTCTTGAGTTAAATTTCATCATCTCACTGTTTTGTCCTTTTTTATTTTTCTTTGCCTTGAATGGTACACATTATAAACCTTAACGCCATTTACCACCTTCACAGCTTTTTCTACCTTGACGACGTTAACATAACACACCTTGATAAAGCGCTCTCTACCTTGATGATGTTTTCTACCTTGATCAAGCAGCACCCTCTACTTTCAGTTGATACAGCATTTTCAACTGTGATGTAGCATCTTCTACCTAGAAGTAGCATTTTCTAAAGCGTTGCTCTTCCTTGATGTAGTATTTTCTACCCAGCTGACATTTTTTACCGTGAATTTAATTTTATCCCTGCAAAACATAGTTAGGGACCGGTAATTATTTATGTAGAGGAGGGGGTGGTGGGAGAAAAATAGGGGGGGGAGGCTATTTTAAATTAGCAAAGAGGGGGCTATTGTTTTTTTCGGGTACAAAGATAAGGGAGGGTCATATGATTCAGCAAGATTTATAAGAAGTCAATTAATATTCAAGAAAGTTAGACTGGTGAACCAGTTGAATAGGATGGTAATAAGTATAGTAATAGCGTGACTTGTAGTGGTATTTGGGGTGTAGGGATGGCGTGGTTCTCTACTCTGCACCGAGAGGTTTTCTCCGGGTACTCCGGTTTCCCTCTCCTCAAAAACCAGCATTTGACTTGACTTCATTTCTGTTAATTGTTAATTTCAGTTACTCATTCTCTTCTGGGGGCACCTATGAATTCTACTGGCTAGATTTAAGATCGTGAACTGCGCCATAAAGCAGTCTGGCAAAGTCCCCCACAAAGTGTTGTAAAGCGTATTTTAATATATTCATATAGAAAGTGCGCTATATAAATGCTATACCATTACCATTATACCATATTAAATAACGCGAGTGATATTTCAAAATTGTCCAAAATACCACGAGCCGCGAGGTGGTGAGTGGTATTTGGAAAATTTTGAAATATTGCGAGCCGGTATTATTGCCAAATACTACGCACGGGTCATGCTATTATTTGTTTATGATAGAAGCCGAGAAATTTTTGGTAACGCACAAGAGACCTTTCTTTTACGGTTTGAAAAAACAAACACAGGCGCGCTATGTTCGTAACAATCTTTTTACGTCAATGGAAGAAATGATTCACAGTTTTTTTGTGAAACGAGTACAAAATCATGCAGATATCACATGACTACTGTAGCTTAGATGACAGAACACTAAGTCTTACCAAATGGTTAAAACGAAATGCACTGCAATCACTATCTAAAAGAGAAAAATAATTATGGAAATGAAAGAGACGGGAAAATCATGTTTATTTCCTTTGCATGTCAAAATAGACTTACATTACAAAGTAAGCAAAACGGTCGGAAAAAGGTCATTAAAACTCGCTCAACCCTTGAATAGAAAACTGTGTCACTTTGATCTACCCGGATACTATGATTGCGTCTCGTTATTGCATCCTGACTACCACAGGAAAGATCCACGGCGAGGTTAGTTTGTTGCGATATAGTTAGTAACTCGGTACTACGATGACAGCGGATCAACGAAATCGAAACTAACCCACTCACGAAACACACCGTTGAAGGAATCGCTAAGAAGCATGTATGCATGTTGCAAAGAAACAGTTCGACGACTAAAAAACGGCAGATTTACCTTGAGTGAGACAGGAGGAAAGTTTACTTTGATGGATCCTTCCATTACTCGACATAAATTATTATTAAAAAAACTCTATTACGCAGTGTTCGAACGTTCACTATCCTGTAGTACCCTTGCCCAGGTATTTTTAGTTCTCTTCCCAGACTCCTTTTACGAACAACGCCGTCCTCGACTCAGTCTCTTTCGTCCACCGACGTCCCCGTCGCTTTGAAACTCTCGTTGCTAAAGGTCCCTAATGAAGGAAGGGCGGCAGTGCCTCCAAAAATATAATGGGAAAAATATCATATTCCTTTCACTGTTTGTCCAGCATTGAGAATAGGCGCTTATGTCTATCAATGTGATAAATTCCAGTGATATTTGTCCCACAAGTGATACATGCCCCTCACCACAAAATCTTTTTTTCGCTAAATGAATCAGTTTGCACCTGTTCAAAAATCAGAGACTGGGGCGACCATGTGCGAGTGAAGACGGATTTTTCACTCCCGTGAACTTTTTGTCCTTTCTTAAAAATTTGTAGTCCTTAAACCTAGTCTATGGCTCAAAGTTGTAAACGGAAAACGAAGGCAAGTGTTAGTATCAGCTCTGATAGCGATATTTGCTCTCCAGAAGGAAAAAAGGCTTGCAACAGTCCTCGTTCGGAACCGAACATTGGCGTAGTATTTAGCGAGGACGATCAAGTTCTGGAGGCCCTGAACATGACAGAAAAAATCGCGACACAATTGGAACGGATCTTCGAAATGCTCGCAGGAGTAGAAAGCAGGTTACAGAATCTAGAAGGTATATTTGAACGCTTCTCCGCTTTGGAGAAGTCGGTTAATAAGCTCGAAACTGAGCTGAATAAGACTGGCGAGAAGACAAGAAAATTGGAAGGCGAAGTTAACGACCTCAGCAAGTCAATGGAATTTGCAAACGCCGAAATTGAAGACCTAAAGAAGAATGATAAAGAAAACGAAGTCAAAATCAAGGAACTTGAGGACAAAATATTGTATCAAGAGGTGTACAACAGGCGAGAAAACCTAAGATTCTTCGGTTTTCCAGAATCTGCTGATGGAGCTGAGAACACGCATGAAGTTGCACGAAAATTCCTTAGCGACGAATTGGAGATGGAAAACGCAGCAGATATTGAATTCCAGCGAGCTCACAGAATAGGAAAGAAGAAGACGGGCGAAACTAGACCGGTGATTGTTCGTTTTTTGAGATTTCCAGAGCGTGAGCTGGTCTTTCGAAGAGTACGTGAGCTGGCTGATGATATCGACATTAAGGTCTACGCCGATGTTCCTAGAGAAATAAGCGAAAGAAGAAAAAAGCAGTGGCCACGTCTCAAAAAAAAGAAGAGGAGGGAAAGACTGCTTTCTTTAGCAAACCAGAACCCGATAAATTGTTTATCGATGGACGATTTGTTCCCTTATAGACAAATCTAGGTTTTTTTGGACTTAGTTTATTTTATTTGACTTTGTTTTATGCTTTTCATCAGTCTTTTTTTGTAACGGGAGTGGCATGTGTAGTTGAAACGATTGTCCCAAGCTCTGTGGCAGCGTCTTATAGGTAATAATTACCTCGCCGCCTTTTTTCGCTCTTTCTTAAAACTTCGTTGTGTAATGTATTCTTTGTTTGTTTGTTTTTCTTTGTTTTATTTGTCCTTTTGTTATTTCCTTTGTTGTTTTTTGTTTTGTGAGTGCGCATGTGTGCGTTTTGTGTGTGTTATCTACCTACGTGTTGTGTGTTTTTGCACCTCAGTTGTTACCTCTTTTCAATTTTTGTGCACCTCTGCGGTGGAAAATTATTTGTATGCGCATAATTTAGTTTTTCACTGATCCCATTCATGAAAGAATTTTTAGGTTTTAAATTACTGTCTCTTAATGTTCGAGGGATTCGATCCGCCACGAAAAGGACTCAGGTCCCTTTTTACCCGACTAAATGAACGGAGGTATGATATTATCTTTCTTCAAGAGACCTATAGCATTGTTGATCGATGTTGAAGACATTTGGAAAACACAATGGAGAGGTAAGCTCTTTTTTGCTCACGGCTCTAATCATAGTTGTAGGGTGATGATTCCAGTGACTCGAAGTGACTTAGATTTTAATTCCGGCCAAGAACTAGTGTGATGACGAGGGCTGCTCCATTATAATTGAAGCTAAGGTCCAAGGTTCGCCATTTTTGTTTGTAACAGTTATGCTCCAAACAAGGTTCAAAACCAACGCCGTTTTTTCTTGATAAGTTGAACAAAAATATTGAAGACTGCGTCGTTAGTGAAAAGCTTAGAATTATTCTCGGGGGAGACTTTGATGTCACAGTCGACTCTGATCTTGACTGTTCCGGTGGTAGACCTTTCAGAAAAGATTCTGTAAAACACATACAAGACTTATGCCTGGATTTTGATTTGGTTGACATTTAGCGCATACGAAATCCGGACTCTAAACGCTTTACGTGGCGTCAAAGAAATCCTTTCATTCAAAGAAGACTTGATTATTGGCTGATTAGCGATGTATGCCAAGACGACATTGAGAAGTCCGATATCATTCCTTCGATAAATTCAGACCATTCGGCAATTTTTCTCCATCTTAATAGTATAGACAAACCAAAACACGGCCCCTCTTTCTGGAAGTTTAATGCTAGTCTTGTAAATGACGACGACTTTGTTGCACTGATAAATGAAAGTATGCCTTTGTGGTTAGAGGAGTTCAAAGACGTTATAGATAAAAGGCTGTTGTGGGATTTAATTAAGTACAGGATTAGACAAATTACAATAAAGTATAGCAAAGAAAAAAGCACGTGAAAGGAGAAGAAAGATCTCTGATATTGAGGCTTCTTTGAAGATTTCGGAAGAGAGATGCGGTAGTTCACCAACTCCTGAGAACCAGGAAGAGTTTGAATTGTTAAAAATGGAATATGATTCTATCTATGAGCAGATAGCAAAAGGTGCTATAATCCGATCGAAAGCCACTTGGTATGAAAAAGGAGAAAAAAAGCAATAAGTTCTTTTTAAACCTTGAAACACATAAGAAAGCTAAGAGTTCTGTCCGTAAGGTTTTTGATAATGGAGTTCTAATCACGGATCCTAAAAAATATTGCAAGAAATTCAAAATTTTTATTCTAATCTTTGTGAGCGTGACCCTCTTAGCCCATCTGAACACACGTTAAACTCTTTTTAAACAATCCTGAAATGCCAAAACTCTCTGATACTGATGTTCAAATTTGCGAGGGAAAATTAACGGTTGAAGAGTGTTACAAAAGTCTTCAGCTGTTTGAAAGTAACAAGTCACCAGGCAATGACGGACTAACAGTCGAATTTTACAGGGCTTTTGGGGCCTCTTAGGACAGCTATTAGTAGACAGCTTAAACTACTCTTATGATCATGGTGAGCTCTCAAACTCTCAGAAAGAAGCCATTATTACCCTAATAGAAAAGAAGGACAAAGACAAAAGGGACTTATCAAACTGGAGACCGATTTCGCTTATTAATGTGGATGTTAAAATCGGTTCAAAAGCCATTGCCAAGAGATTGGAGAATGTTTTACCAAACATCATACATTTCAATCAATCTGCATATGTAAAGGGTAGAACCATTTTCGACGCGGTCAGAACCATAGAGGACGTTATGGAATTCTCAAAGAGATACAGTATTGACGGAAGAATGGTTTGTATAGATTTTAAAAAAGCTTTTGACACAGTTAGTAGGGACTTCTTATTTCGAACGTTATCCGTTTTTGGTTTTGGACCATCTTTTATTCAATGGATCCACACTTTTTACAAGAATGTTTCGAGTTGTGTCTTAAATAATGGCTTTGCAACTTCATCCTTTGCAGTTGAAAGAGGAGTAAGACAGGGAGATCCTCTCTCTGCTTACTTATTTATTATAGCATTAGAAGTTTTATGTGTTAACATACGTAACAGTAATGACATTCGTGGTATTAAAGTCGATAAAGAAGAGATCAAATTAAGTCTTTTCGCAGATGACCTGACTGGGTTTTTAAAGGATGACCTCTCTCTAACAAACTTTCTTAAACTTATAGAAGATTATGGAACTTGCTCTGGCCTAAAGGTTAACCACGAAAAGACAGAGCTTTTGTTACTGGGTAACCTGGCCTGTACCGTACAAGAAGCCACTCTGAACAACATAAAAATTAAACGATCAGCTAAAATCTTAGGAGTACATTTTACCTATGACATTCAAGCAAAACAAAAGCTAAACATCAATGAATTAATCAGCTCCATCCAACTTAAGAGCGAATGCACAGAAAAATCGAGCAAAATCGGCAAATCGTGGCCACAGCTCAAAACCTAACTTACCCTCATTTTCAGTCTGTAATAAGGTTTCAATGAGTTTATAACACTGCTGAGGTTTAAATTTCAAAATGCGGCCGAGTTTGAGAATTATTTGAGATTTTCGATTTCAACGGTCAGGAGGCCTAAAATTAGCCGCCGAACTCGGGAAAATTGCCCAGTGACAGGATTGAGCTGACTTTCATAAACGAGCGAATATATTGGCAATCTTCCACTTAAATCTCAAAAAGCAGATATCAAACAATTTCTGAACGGCACATTTTTTAGATTTAGAGTATAAAATATCGACGAACGAGCACAATTTTGAAACGTAATTTGCATAATGCTTATAAATACAACAATTTACCGCTAAAACCAAAATCGAATTTTCTATATGGGGGAATTCTCCAAATCACCCCAAATCCCGCTTACTACCTAATGAGATATAGTACTTCAACATTATCTGAAAGTTAGTCTGGTGTTCTTGCGAACGCTTGTAAAATAGACTGATTATTTTGAGGTTATTTCGCCCCAAACAACCGCTAATTGACCCCAGGGTCAATTGATACGTGCAGGTCACCTTAGTTTTATGCGTCGATTTTAGCTCGTTAAAAGGGAGAAACTAACAAGATTCTTTTTAATATGTACCTGTTTTAATGAAATACACGCAATCTTCAAAAGGAGAGGCCGTTCAATGGGTAATTTCTGTTCTTGAGATCTTGTAAATTGCAGCATGGCGTCTGCAAGTGGACCTGAGTCTAGGTCTGTTTTCCCGTGACTGCGAAATCAGAATAACATCATGAAATAATTCGCCCTCGAATCTTCGTAAGCGAATCAGCTTTGCAGTGCCTTACCTGAGATAAAAAAGTGGGCCGAATAGCAAAACATTTCTAGCGCAATTAGGATCCTTTGTGGAACGCAGTGTATTGCTGAGCGAAAGGTGAGTAAACAAACGTGGGAAAGTACGTTACCTTTGATTGCGTGACCAGCAAGTAAACGATAGTCTCCAGCGAAAAATAGGATTCTCAAAATCTTGCTGATGTATATTTAACAGTTTGTTACTATAAATTTACACCTGGTTTGTCTAGAACTTTAAACAATGTACATCTGTCCAAGAGTGTAAGAATGTTTCGAAATATCCACCCCTAAATAACTGTGGGCTACTCCTTTTTCCCCATCACCGATGTGCACTTCCTTCCCACTGTCTTTTGCATGAGGCTTGTATGCCTTTTTAACTGTTATCGACACTTAAAACTGGCCGTTTAAGGCCTGGTTTAAGAACTTGACTGACTTAAAAACCGTCGTGAACATGCGCTATTATTGTTGGACTTTGGAAGCTTTAAGCCCAAAACGATGGTGCAATCTCCAGAAATTTGCCCGGGTCTAATTATAAGACAGGAACGGGTACTAAAAAGGGACGGTCTCATTTAGCAACCCGTGGACAATCTGGGCATGCTTGCCTTCTGTCGCAAGGGCAACCGTTAAGGCCAGGTACGCCGCCCCCACCCGAGGGGGTTGCATGGCATCCACCATTTCAGTCGCTTTTTCCACATCATGACCTTCAATTATCATGAATTATAATGCGGGCCTTGATCGTTGCCACCTTGCCAGAAGTCTAATCTTCGCACTGTTAGACCATGAGAATCGCTATTATTATTCCATAAATGCACCATTGACTTTTCCTTGCTCAGCTTCCGGTAAACCGATACTCCGAAGCAAAAATAGCTTTATAACGACTCTATCCAGGCCAGAACTCCTGATATCAACAAATATACCCCCACCCCCGCCGCTAAAGAGAGCAAACGTTCCCGAACTATTCACTTTACCCACCCCATCCCTTTGTTAAGAAAAACAACGCACTCAGTTCACTGGACAAAACGCGCTCGTGAATATACCAAACTATAGCCGTTCATCCTACAAGCAATCTCAGTTTCAGCAGGCGTGGCCACGTTTCCAGTTGCTGTAAGATTAATTCGACACCTGCAACAGACACTGTAAATTAAATAGCAGCCACAACGCCCTTCTTTGAAACCGTCAGGACGAGAAGTTTATAAAAGACTTAACAGGTGTGCGCGGCGGTTTCCTTTTCTTCCTTTCCTCCCATTGTAGCACTCAAATTCTGACCCTGATATTAATTCTAGTAGTAATCAATCGTTCCTGAGCCGATAGGCACAAGGATACCAGTTTCTTGCAAAATATGCTGTGACATCCGTTTGCTCATCCCCCTTTCTGCCTTCGGCCGCTGATTAGGTTTGGTTCTATGCTTTGAAATAACTTTAGGAACGAAACATGATACGTGAGGGGAGTGTCCGGCTAAGGGCAAGTGACTCTCGGTGGTGAAGACATATACTGAGCTTGTCAGTATTTCGTAGCCTGTACCACGTCGCGAAAATAGAACAAGCCAAAGAAAAATAAGACGCCTTTCTTTCCCCAGCACCCGCAGGTTTTTCGCATTACTTTTTACTGTACAACTGATTCTACCTTTTGGAGCCGGAGCGAACACGGACGCCCTTGGGGTTAAGTTTCCACTTCATTTTCGGCACCTGACTAAACGCAAGCGCTGATTTGTGCGCCTATGCTTCGTTTGCACTGAAGTAGCAGTATATGACCACGACAGACTTGCTGCTATCCTTGGTTTGAAACCGCAATGGGCAAGAACAATTTCTTGAAAAGAGCAAACTATTTCCTCCTTAGCAGACATGGACTTGAAAAGAGAAAGCATGATGCTTTCTCTTTTTAATGATTTACGGCTAAACAGTACAATTTCATGTAGCTTTTAAGGAAAATTAAATACTTAGTTGTTTGCAGAATTGCATTTAACAACAAATTACAGAAATTTAACTAAGTTTAGATCTCATAGATAAGAATTGAACGGAAAAAACCTTTGGGGTAAAAAGTCAAAAAATAATGTTTGCTGGAAAATCACTTAATGGACATACCATAGCAGAGATATCATGCCTGTAATTTTCTGTTCAATGCACCTTATGACAAGTCTGACTAATCCACTGGTAACCCATGCCTTAAAACCGCCTTGAACCTTAAAATTTGATCCATTTCCTTTCATGCGTAGAGCAAATATATCTTCTGAACACTCCGGGGTTGGAGGTAAAATCGGAAGAACAGAACATTCAGTTTCTGTACGATTTTCAAAAAGGGACAGTATGTTTGCTAATCATCTTAGTTAACCGCTTTTAAAATAGGACAAAGGACACCTGGTCATACAGGAAAATGAATTTACTGTATCCCGAAAGCTTTGGTTTCCCGTGCACTTATTTTTCGCAGGAGACAATCGATAATTGCCTGGTCACGCAATCGGAGGTGAGTAACTAATTTTAAAAAAGTCATTGATACCATCGCCGCTTAGCAAATACACTACGTGCTGCAAAGGATCGAAATTGCGCTAGAATGTTTTCCTATTCGGCCCACTTTTTATCTCAGGTAAGGCACTGCAAAGCTGATTCACTTACGAAGGTTCGAGCGAGAATTATTTCATGATGTTATTCTGATTTCGCAGTCACGGGAAAACAGACCTAGACTCAGGTCCAGTCGCAGACGCCATGGTACAATCTACAAGCTCTCAAGAACAGAAATTATCCATTGAACGGCCTCTCCTTTTGAAGATTGCGTGTATTTCATTAAAACAGGTACATATTAAAAGAATCTTGTTAGTTTCTCCCTTAATCGACGCATAAAACTAAGGTGACGTGCACGTATGAATTGACCCTGGGGTCAATCAGCGGTTGTTTGGGGCAAAATAACCTCAAAATAATCAGTCTATTTTACAAGCGTTCGCAAGAACACCAGACTAACTTTCAGATAGTGTTGAAGTACCATATCTTGTTAGGTAGTAAGCGGGATTTGGGGTGATTTGGAGAATTCCCCATATAAAAATTCGATTTTGGTTTTAGCGGTAAATTGTTGTATTTATAAGCATTATGCAAATTACGTTTCAAAATTGTGCTCGTTCGTCGATATTTTATTCTCTAAATCTAAAAAAAAATGTGCTGTTCAGAAATTGTTAATATCTGTTTTTGAGATTTAAGTGGAAGATTGCCAATATATTCGCTCGTTTATGAAAGTCAGCTCATTTCTGTCGCTAGGCTATATTGCCGTGTTCGGCGGCTAATTTTAGGCCCGCAGACCGTTGAAATCGAAAATCTCAAATAATTTCCAAATTCGGCCGCATTTTGAAATTTAAACCTCAGCAGTGTTATAAATTCATTAAAACCTTATTACAGACTTAAAATGAGGGTAGGTTAGGTTTTGAGCTGTGGCCACGGTTTGCTCGATTTTTCTGTGCATTCGCTCTTAAGCTACGAATCTGGAGGTGGAGGGATTTGACTATCATAGGGAGAATTCAAATTGTCAAAACCTTTATTATCCCTATCTTCTTATATCGCACGAGCTTGATATCATTGGATAAAGAATTTGTGAAAGAAGCGAACAAAATTATCTTTGATTTTATATGGAAAGGAAAGGATAAAGTTAAACGCTCTGCACTTATCAGTGATATCGAAGATGGAGGACTTAAAGCCCCACATTTAAACTCCATAATTGAAACACAAAGAATACTTTGCTGCAAGAAATTGGCAAATGATCAACCGAGTGGATGGAAAATAATCCTTTGCATTATCTGAAACCTGTTGGTGGTAAATTAGTCTTATGTTGCGACTTTGATTTGAAGAAATTGACTATCAAATTACCAGCCTTTTATGAAGAATGCTTAAAATCTTTTGCAAAGTGCTCTGCGGTAAATAATTTAAATATACAGGATTTAAATGGAAAAGACTTGTCAAAAGTTATCTTATGGAACAACAAATTTATTTGTGTTGGTGACAAGTCTGTGTATTTTCGAAATCTCGCTGAGAAAGGGATCTTTCAAGTGGGTGATTTAATCTCGAATAAACATGAACTTATAATCAAAAGCGAGTTGAGAGTCTTGAACCTTTCGCCGCTGGATGCTTTTAGGCTTGTCTCTTTAATAGACGCTCTACCAACTCAATGGCGTGAATCGTTGAAATCCTGCATCTATACAGGTGACACACCATTCAATTTGCGTGATGAGATTAAGTTACGCTTAAGTGGTCAAATTGTTTTACTTGAAAAAGCGTATTCGAAAATTGTCTATAAAGAACTTCGAAACAGAATCGTCACTCCACCAACTGCTAAACTAAAGTTTGATGTTAATTTTGTCAATGATACTTTGAACTGGACAAAGATCTATAGCTTGCCATATCGTGTTGCCTTAGATACAAAGACTCGCGAATTTCAGTATAAATTATTAAACAGATGCCTTGTGACAAATACCTTCTTATGCAAAATTGGTATTATACCCTCTCCAGCGTGCTCCTTGTGTGGTGAATCGGACGAATCCCTCGAACATCTCTTCCTGTCTTGTCATTATACTGAGAATTTCTGGTCTGAGGTTATAAAATGGCTTGTTGATCATAAGGTCAAGATTGAAAATCTTTCAGACAAAGATATACTGTTTGGTATTATTGGATGTGAGGATGAGATATTTGTGAATCATATTTTATTACCGGCAAAACAATATCTATACTCTTGTAGACAGAACAAATATCCTCCCTCCATCAGAGTTCTTCATTCCAAAATTAATACTGTCTTCTTAATAGAGACAATGATCGCTGAGTCAAACAATAAGTTGGAGACCCACAATATGAAATGGGGCAAATATAAAACTGATTAGCATACGATCTCTTCTCCGCTTACTTTATTTATTATTAATCTTTATTATTTATTTATTTTATTTTACTTTTTTTTTTTTCATGTAAATAGAAAAGAAGGTACTGGGTTTTTGTTTCGTTTGTTTTCTTTTTTTTTTAAGTATGTAATTGTGTGTTAGTCTGCGATGTATAATGTTTAGTTTTCCTTTCCGTTTTTGTATCTTTTCTTTACGTGTTCCGTGTTCATAAGTCAGAATGTAAAAAAAATGTAAAACATTTTAAAACAAAAAATTCATTAAAATACAAAAAAAAAAAAAAAACCTGTTCGAAACGTATTGGGGTCATTTAATTTTTTCCTTCTTCTAACAAATCCTGCCATTTTATAGGCTTCAAAACTTGCGAAAAAACCAAGCCCCTTTTGCTCACGACCGAGTCAGGAGGGGAATGGATCTCGGTACTGACACGGCTTCACAAATAGTCGAACTTTTTGAAATCTCAATCTTACTTGAAGTATCTGGCCGTGGCCATTTCTATGCCCGGTAGAGTTGTGAGACGGGGCCTACGGTTTAATCGTCCTTATCCGAGAAGACTAGAAAGTCTAACCATTTGCAGATTTCATTACAAAGGCAGAACTTTCTCCTCAGTTATTTAAAGACCCTGAGTGTTGGTCCGGCCGGGGTTTTCAACCCGCGATCTCCCGCACGCTAGTGCCGAACTCAACCAACTAAACTCAACCAACTGAGCTAAACCCTCAGGGAAAACCGACGCTCTAGTCATGAGATTTGTTGCTTAAAAAAAAACAATTGGTTGACAGAAAAAAATGAATTCATCAATGCTATTTCCAGTTCATTCGTTTTGAAAGGAAGGTTGATAAAATCGGTGCTCCCCGGGGCTTCGACTGGTTTAATTAAATATCTCATTGTGGTCGTGAGAAAGTAAATGATTTACTTGTTTCTAAGGAATCTCTGGGTGCTGCGTCAGTGGGAGA